CAACATTCCAAGGCAGACAATCCCTGGAGGCTCATCCAGTTATTCTACTGGCACCCCAAAATGCACTGTCATCTCTGTCACACCAGCTCTGAATCATGGAACTGATTTTATGTCCTTTGTGTCTGGCTCAGTTTCTGTCCTTGATTGCACACGGGAATCTCTGAAACAATTCCTTTGGAGCCAACAAGATTACTGGGGATTAATGCCAAAGGCTTTGACAGAGAAAACATACCCATAACATACCCATCACTCTGCTCTGTCCTGTGGATCATTCTGGATCTTTGTCTCACTTTGAAAGGACCCAACAAGGGATCCAAGGGCCACCCTTCATGGAATCATCATTCATGGAATCATCAGAAGCTTTCCCAATAAGAAGCTTCAAGGACTAAATTGCATTAATTTGAGTGAATAGTAACCAGTGCTTCAGACTTCCAGAAGCTCTTCAGCACCCATAACCACCAAAAACAATGGGAGTTGCGGATGACCAGCAAAAATTGGTTACAGGGTTTAACAGAATTGCTCTCTTACAGTGCTCCAGCCCCAGACCCACAAGCTCTGCTCCCCTGCTGTCCTTTGGCAGTCACAGACTGGGAAAAAATAATAATAACAAAAGCTGTGACTTGCATGCAACCCCCCAAATCACCCAATATCTGTGGTTTGGTAGTACAGCTCCACTGATTCTCAATGTATGGAGGATTTTCAGGGCAAAGTCCTGCACTGGCATCTGCAACGCAGATCTCGTCTCTGCATAAACTTCACCCTCTGTGGGTTTCTGCCACGTGCTTTGCTCTTGCACTCCACACCAAATCCCCCTCGGCACAGGGAGAAGCTCTAAGTGGAGGCAAAAGAGATTTTTACAGCACAGAGGGGCAAGAGATCCAAAAGGAATACTTTACCTGGAATTCCCAGCGTCACAACTGCATCATTTTTACTTGATTTATGGTTTTTCAACTCCAGCGTGACCACAGGGTACAGATGTAGTACAACTCACATCCCTCTATGCATTTTCCTCTGGTGTGATTCCCTTTCTTTTTAATACTTTTGGGTATTTTTCACTAATCAAGGAAATAACAAGCTCGATCTCACGCTCAGAAAGTGGAAAACTGGGCAAAGCCTGTTCTCCCAGAGCACCCATCCCACCAAAGAAGCTGATAAAGGAGCCCTGCATTCCTCAGGAAAGAAAGGCAGTGGGGGCAAAATGAACATGTATCAGAAGTCTGTGTTCACTGGAATTTGGATCTCTCTGGATTCATGGCCATTCTTTTTGAATGAAACCATCTGCTGCTGAAAGGCTCAGCATCACTGCTGAATGAAGTTTGCTACCTGGACAGACTAACTCTTTTTTTCCTGGGAAATAGGAGGAGAAAAACCAACATGGGAGGCCTTGGAAAGGAGGAAGCCATGGAGAGGGAGGGACTCAAGGATATCTCCATCTACCCTGCAAAGCTCCTGTCCCTAAATATCCCTGGGACAAACACGTTGCTTTTGCTTGGCCAGAGCACATGGAGGCAAATAGAGATGGAGGGAGAGCCCCAAGACCTCACTCTGAGCTCACCCTTGGCACTGGAAGTTTTCTTTCTTCCCTGCTTTGTCTTCCTTCCTCTCAGTCCCTGCCACTTGCCAAGGGCAGGTGTTCAGTGGAGGAATCATCCTGCCAAGTCTCCACCAGCACCTCACCTGCTTCTCTTCATCCCACTGTGAGATCTGCTCTGAGGTGACTGAAATCATCCTGAACCTGAGAAACTGGTCTCCCTCCCATCCTCTGACAGCCAAAGGGGCAAGGAGACCACCAGGGCTGGTTGGATGGTGGTTCTTTCTGTTAGGAGGGACTTCACCTCGGGTAATTTTAGCTATTTAAAGGCAGGGGAGCGTTCTAAGCAAATCATTTGGGCTCTGCAGGTGAGATGGGCAGACGGAGAACTCCTCACCCAGCCTGCCACCCACGGGGTGAGCTCTCAAAGGGAAATCTGCAGGGAATTAAGAAGCATTTGAGATTTAAATAGAGAAAACATAGAGGTGCTGAAGTTTTCCTCGGCATGAAAAAACTCCTTCCCTCCATGGCTGTACCCCTTAATGAGATGATCAGTGACCTGAGGAATGTCAGGTCACCAGTTTCTGATGCAAAAAGCAGTGCACTCTTATAAATGTGTGTTTTTTCCAGGTACTTTTTTCATAATGAAGGAATAGCACTAAAAATACATCCCATCATATTCTCCAGGGGCATAAACAGACATCACTCCCCTAAAAACAAGATAGACTTACTTATACCTGCCAGCTGGGGAGTGAGTCCATCACTGGGAAACAACTTCATGCACATACATTGATATATTAAAATATATTTTATATACCCTTAATTACAATTTAATATGAATTTATACGTTAAACCTATATAAACCCACAAAAGGCAGGCCATAGTTCTCTAGCATACTCGACCCTGAATGGTTCTTTATCTTACAGACACAATCTATTTTTTATATGTACAATTTGTTTTTATGTCTAACTTGTTTTATATATGTTTTCCTATATTTTATATATAATTTTGCATATATTCATATATACACACAAAAAACCACAAAGGTGGGCGCATATTTTCAGCCTTGAATGGGTCTTTATTTCACCATAATAATCTTATCCTGCCCTCCCTTAAGAAAAAAAAAATGACATCTTTGTAAAGGCACACAGCCATTTCTATGCTATCGGGGACAGAGGATAAGTTATGAAGGAAGTGAACATCAGAAATTATCCTGTAAAGCCAAGGCTGTGGATTTTAACCCTTCCAACCCTGCCAGGCCTGAGGGGGAATATTGATATATTCCGAGGGTTTCTGTTCACTGGATCACCAACTACAACCACAGGCCTGCGTAAAAATGCCAAGCAATTTTTAGCCCAAGCTCAGGGTGGCTTGATGCCACGCTCTTCACATGGCACAGAGCCCTCCCTAAGAGTCCTCCCCCTGTTCTACCTCCTCCAAAAAAACCCCCGCCGTGAATGTGAACCTTCACATCTTTCCACCCACCGTAATGAAAGGGTGGTTTAGCAGCAAAAAAAAAAAAACTGGGGAGGGGGGGAACGTCGTTACTCGAGTTCCAGCAGGGGCTGGGAGGCTGGCACGGGGTGGGGGAGCTATTTCAAGTGGTAGGGAGCCCATAAATAAATAAATATTGACACATCGTGCCAGGATCTGTGCTTGTCCTTGGAAAGGGCAGGCAGGGAACACAGGGCACATTCAGGGGACCTCAGAGATGATTTAGACTGAGAAGATTAAGAGTTATAGATGCCTTTTTTTATGCTTTATATATTGGCTTTTCTGGGGCTGAGCCTGAAAATGTTTGTACATGGGAGTACATTTGAGGAGGGTTCTGGGCGTGTTTGCGGGATCGCAGGAATTATTTGCTGCCTGATTTTCCTGGCTGGGCAGAGCCATGCTCAGGTCATCAGCTGCAGCAACCAGAAGAGACTCTGACATCTGCATTCCAGCCTGTGGTGACCACCTACAGCTGGTCCTGGCAGGGCAGTGGGAAGAACCCTCCCATCAGAAGGTCACAGGGCAGGTCCCTCCAGCCCTGCACCAAGAGCCAGCCCTGCCAATGCCAGAAAATAAGGGATTGGAGTCACTCCTCCCCTCCTGGATGGAAAATGCTGTGTTGAGCATCTACATCTGTCCTAGGTGTAATCATGGCTATGGCACCGTTCCTGCAAAACATTTGCACCAGGAAGCAGCTTGACACATGGACAAAGTTCAAAGTGAAGTGAAAGGCACGGAGTTAATTACTGGCAGGACCTGACATTTAGAAAAGGACTTTGAGCAGGATTTTTAAACGAGATTTAGGCTTGATTTTTCAGGCTAAAGTGCTTGCATCCAAAACTGAGATTCGCAAAGGTCTCCTCAGCCACCTGGTCCTGGAAGTCCTGATGTTTTCCAACACTTTCTTCCTTCAGCCTTAAACCACCACATCTGCACTCCTGCTCTGCACGTCCAGAACCGACCGGGCAAACACTCCCCTGCTGCCAAAGAGCCTCAAAAGGCAGTGACAACACAACACAGGACTCTGCACCAAGATCTCCAGAAGCATGTGGAGCATCCTTACCAAACACACTCCCCAAACAAGGCTGTGAGCTTTGTCTTTAAAGCACTGTCACCTGGGGAAAAAAAAAAACAACTCTTCCCCAGTAGCCTGATGGGCCACAGCTTCTCTGAGCTGCTCCAAGTCTCTGGTTGCTTTAAACAGGTCTAAGCCCACCTGCAGCCCCAGAGACGTTTGTTGAGCACAAAGCCAGAGGTTGTTCTGGATGGGGACATCTCACAAAGAAACACGAGGTCCCTGCAGCCAGGAGGACAACACCCACAACCTGTAACCCAGCAGTGAAGGCATTCACCTCAGAGAGAGAGGGAGGTCCTGAATTTTGGCCCCATGTCCTGGTGATATTTACACAACCCAATGTAAAATGCACATGCAGACCCCAGGGAAGGGACTGCCACTCTATCCTGGCCTATCCCAAGCCACAAAGTGACACACAAAGCAAAGCCCAGGTGGTTCTCACAGTCCTGAGAGGGTCCCCAGGATGGAGACAGGAGTTACCTCTGCATCCTGGACATCCTGTGGAGCTCCATGTCGTCGCTGCCACGGAAGCCTTTGGCAAAGGGGTTGTTCTCGATCTTGAGCTGGGTGATCTGAAAGGGAGGAAATGCAACGGGTTCATCGCGAGTCCAAGGCATGGCCTGGGAGAGAGGGGATATTGCTTATTAAACTCTATCCCAGTAGGGATGGGAGGGAAAAAACAGCTTTCAGGAACTCAAGTCATCCTTCAGCTCAGGCACTGACCACTGCAGATGGGCCCTCCTCTAGATCACCCCACTGGAGAAATATCTCCTGTCAACAACCTCTCACTCCTCCCAGGCGTGTCCCATAACTAACATGTGGGACTGCACACACACACACAAATTTCTCTCTGGAGGAAATCTGCTTTCTTAGAGTTCTTGCATCCTTTTTGCTGTTGGGACACAAAGAGCTGCACTAACTAGAGGACCAGGGATGGGAGTCATATTGTCTGAACAAATCCCACTGACACCAGCAAGCATTTTTTCATCAATGTGCAGCCACGACCAAAACCTCAGCTCTCAGACCCTGCATCCTCTCAAACCACCGAAGCTCCCTCTTTCTGTATTTCAGACCAGCTAAATGTGCTCCAGGCGCTCTGCATCCAACCTCCTGCCCCACTCAGCCCCACACTTATACGTACTTGGAGGGCAACTTCACCTGTGACAATCAAGCCCTGGAGGATTATTTGTCTCCCCATTAATTCCAGAAGGAATTAAGAGGGATGAGTTTGCTCACTTGGCTGGCTGTCTTCAGCTTCTAAAATTTGCTGGGATCAATCCCCCTCAGACTCAACTTTACAACATCAAAGTCAAACATTTAAAGCAGCTGCTGTACAGAACGTACCCTTACCCAAGGGAACTGTGCCACCCAAAGAGGTGCAATCCCCTCCTTCACACACTTCAGATGGCTTAGGTGAGCAGGATTTTTCAAGCCAGGGGTTGTCATTTAAGCAAATATTAATTGTGGACCAGCAACACCCTAAAATTCCCTGCAGATCTTGTACAAACCCACTCTGCCATCCCAAATTTGACACTAATGCTTTGGTGGCTTTGCCCAGTGGACTGGCTCTGGATCAGGGGTGATGTTGCTGCAACACCCTAATACAGAGACAGAGAAGAAGGGGAACTGTTGCCTCTTCTTTCTCCATCACTGCCTGGCAGTCTGAGCCCTCAGCCAGGAGTCAGGAGAGCCACCTGCCCAGGAGGAGACACAACCCTGTGTTTGCCACTGGAGGAACATCCCTCCCTCGCCGTGTTTTATGGAAACCCCGTCCTTCCTTCCTGTTGAAGGTTGGCCAACGGGAAGGAAAGAGCTCGAGACTGATGGCGGGGGAACAGAGAGAGGTTCATGTTCACCAACTCAAGCACAAACAACCGGACCCACCTCTTTGCCAAAATCCAAAGAGGAAAATCTGGCTCAGCTGCTGTCCATAGCAAACCCCGCCAGGTGCCTGTGCCACCAGATTATTTTGCTATTTTCTTCTCTTTGGGCATATTTTTTTTCCAAAGGCCGGTTGTTTATTTGCCCTTTTTGCCTAATTCGGCCCCAAATCTCTCACGGAGACCTTATCTCCCCCATGCTTGTCCCCAAGGCATTCCCATTAATTTGGGACCATACTTAGCACATAAACAGGGCCTTTGGGCTTTTTTTTCCATCACGCATTTAAGATTTCAAAGAGAAGGGTAAACAAACAATCTCTTTGGCCCTTTGAGGCATTCTCCAGCAATAAAACAAAGGCACATCTTGTAATTAAAAGCCCTGGCTAATTACACAACCAGCTGTATATTTTCCAAAGAAAGGGCCTATCGGTTTCCACCGGCGAGGTGGTGACTCTCCTGTGAGGAATAATAGGCATTATTCAATGTTTTGAACGTTCCTGAAGCACAGTAAATGTACAAGTTGTCCTCCCTTGCTGACCCCAATGGGCAGTATTTGCTTGCATAAGTGAAGCCCTTCAGTGAGCGAGGATTTACAGCGCTGGCACCGGCACACGGACGTACAAAGGGCCGGATTCATCCCAACCTGACCGAAGGCATTTTAACCAAGGCGCCTGCACCAGGAACCTCGTCTCCCAGCTGGAATCAGCGGAGGGAGATGGGGACTGCCAGAGGGCACTGGGGCTCTGAGGTGGGTAGCACTGCCTTCACAGGTCCCCACCGCTCTCTGTTCACCGGAGGAGGAGCCATCAGTGCCCTGGCCCCTGATTTAAGGGCCTCAGATGAATGCCCTGTTTGATTAATCAAGCTTTTAATCACCCATGAAACATCAGACAAAAATATTAAATGATCTCTGGAACTTGCAAATACGTTGTTTTATGACTAGAGAATCTCCTAACCTGCATCAGGAACACCCAAGCAAAGGTATTAACACACATGTGGGTGGCAGAAAGCCCCAAGTGAAATCATGGCTTTCAACCTCCTTCAAATTGGGGATGTGCTGGATTGAAGGCATCCAGAAACCAGGGATTACAGAAGGTTTTGAATTAATTCTGCAGATCTTTGGAGTACTTAGATGGATTGGAGCTCTCAGAACAGAGATGATAACTCCTGGCATCAGCCCTAGCACGAAGACAGGGGAGTCCCAGCCAGATTTAACAGAACCATAGACAACAAAATAGAAAACAGAGAAAAAGTTAGTGAATCCCTGCTTTAGAAAACAACCTGTGGAAGATATTTTGTTTGGCCAGTTTTTGTCTGACTTACAAACTATTTCAGAGGTGGAAAAGCAAACCCACGGGTGGAAATAACTTTCTTCTGGATCAACTTTGCCGTAGCAAAACTCAGTTTAATTGACTGTAACTCACGGAGAGGGGGAAGAAAAGCTGTCAGAAAGTCAAATGACAATTACATCATGAAAAATTAATAAAAAATTTAAAAAAAAACCTCCACAACTTCTTGCAAGGTCATTAAGACAGAGTGCCCAGGGCTAAGTTATACAGCACAGATTCAATAAAACTGTAGGGCTTTGTTTACGTGTTTGTCGCTGAGAGAAACCGATGGCAAAGTCTGCTCTGACCACTGATTTCTGAAGCTGCCACAGACCCTTTGAGACAAGAGCTTTCCAGGGTGAAGCCTCCCAGAGTTACACTTTTTAGGGATTGTCTGACCCTTTGGGTTCACCCTCACTTGAACAGGAGGTGACAGTTCCCAGTGCAATCTCAGCGCTGCTCCCCTCTCTGGGCTGACTGACCTCAACACACTCCTGCTGAGACACCTCCAAAGGCATCCTCAGCATGATCCAATTTAGCTTTGAATCTTCTCAGATCAAGGAAAAACACTTTTTTAAATTGTATTTATATGGGTATTTGTGCCTAAGGGGTCATGAATGTCATTACGGGCAGGATCAAAACTACCACTGAGTTTTCTTGTCAAGAACTTGCCATAGTAAGATCTTTCTCAATTGCTGTTGATTTTAGAAGTTAGGGCAAAGTTAAAACTTTGTAAGGGGTGATGTGTTCCACACCAGGTATATGCCCTGGGCTCTATTTTATTTAATTATTTTACTATCAATGTGGGTTTTTTTAGCACTTTAGCTAAGGGAAAACACACCACCCTGACCTCTTTGGGCTCTTCCAAAACTGTCCTAAACTGTTGGGCATTCTGGAAAAGGGATGTTCTGCAAGGGATGGGGATCCTTAGTTTCTGAGCTGCCTTTCTGGAACAGGGGCTTCATGTTCTATAAGGGATGGGGATCCTTAGTTTCTGACCTCTTTTTGTCAACAACTGCCCCACTTGGAGAACTTAAAAGTCTGAATGGTGGAAAAAAAAAAAATCACCATTCAGGTCTCCCCATTTAGTGATGAAGAGGTGGTTACCCTTGGGAAGAACACACATGGACTCCCCAGACTGTGGGGAAATGTGTTGTCCCTGCCCTGCAGGTGACCACGGTCCTGCTCAACGTGACACAGAGGGGCCAGGACCACCCCTGCCAGCCCTGCATCTCTCTGTGCTGAGAGCCACGGGAGGCTGGGCTTGGGGCTGGAAAGCACAGAGCCTTTTTCTTTGGCACTTTCACGTGGCCCAGGTGGAAACCAAGTCAGTGTGGAGCAGGAAGCCAAGCCAGGGAAGTGGGAAGGAAAGAAAGAGATGAAGACAAGGTGCCTGCTGAGGCTCTGGATATCTGGCTGGGCCAAACAGGAGCTGGATGGGCAGCTGGGACTTGGAGCCCGAGGTAAAGGCCAGGGGAAGGGGGGTTGCTGGCAGGGGGGAGAAGATGCTGAACCCAAAGCCAGTGAAGGAAATGGGAGGGACTGAGAGGCAGTGGCTGGTCAGAGGTAGTGGTGTGAGACACAGGGGCTCTTTGAGGAGGCTGTTGGCTGAACTGGGAGACAAGAACGAAGGATGAGAAGAGACAGACCTTGCACAGTGTTTGGGGGGAAGGAGGTGGGTCAGCAAGCAGGAGTGAGGCTGGAGAGAGAGAAAGTGTCTTTTCTGAGCTTGAGGAGGGCTGGATTGAGAAACAAAAGGGTCCTGGGGCTGACAGGGAGGCAGGAACAAGGCTGAGGACAGAGGGGCAGAGGGAGACAAGACTGGTCCAGGCACAGGTTGGGAAGGGGGAAGGACACGAGACCTCTCGAAGGAAGCACTCTGCTACCAAGGTCTGGAATGGGATTAAGCACTTGGGAGCAGAGATGTGAGGAGCCCTGGTGAGGGTCAGGAAGAGATAAGCAGCTCACTGCCATCCTGGAGTGACCAAGGGCTGCACAGAAGCCACTGGCTCTGGCAATGAAGAGGAGACACGTGGTCTCACCTCACTCAACCCCAGGGAGCCCTGTCTCTCTCCTGGGACACCCCCCTTCTAAGAGCCCTGAGTAAGGACAGGGGCTGCCCCTACTACCCATGGAGGTGGGAAGACATGGGGCCAATGACCTCAGGCTGGGCAGAGAGAGCTTGGGGGACTGGGATGGAATGCCATGGGATGCCAGCCAGGCCACCACACTGGTGGCCTCTGCTGAAGTGATGGAGGTGGCCACCTGCAACCAAAGACAAGGAGAACTGAGCTCTCAGGAGAAAACACCCCAAGCCCAAGGACCTGCCCACCTCCTGCAGCAGCTACACCCACCCAGCACAGGGTCTTTCTAGGGGTAGGTTGAACCTCTATGTTCAGAGAGCCCACCAGCTGCCTGGGAGTGCATCCCATTAGTCTTCAGCCGTTCCCTTCCCTGGTCCTCTGCTTTGCTCTGCTGCATTTCTGGGTGCCTGCAGCATCCCAGCAGGGGCTAACAATTCCTTAAAACAATTCTGGCTACCAAGAATGTTAAATAGCTTAGGAGGAGGGAAAAAAAAAATCAGCATAAAACCGGATATCCAGAGGGGGGGACACCAATATAAAGCCCAAGTCCAGCTAACGGGGAAAGTAGGTTGTAAAAATTAATGAGAATAATTGTTGTGAATTCTTGCTTTCGAAAGAACCCTCATGAGGGCAGAACCTTAATTATTTCTGTCTATTAGGGTTCATTTCCTGGTCCTAAGCAGAGAGCTAGTACCTAATAAATACGAGCTAGTAACACAATGATTTAAGCTACGGCAAAATGGTACTTAACTGCAGGGGAAGTTAATATTTGGGAATCAACCTGATTGCAAGCACCCATTGTGTGAATGGCAAGGAAATGAAATGTGCATGTGACCTATTTTAACACCTCGGTATTTCTGGGGTGTTTTTCAGGGTTGCAGAGATGGGGGAGGTGGTCAACAGAGCTGCTGACAACAGCACTGAAAACTTTACCAAAACCCTCTTCGTGGCTTAAGCCTCTTTTTGGGGAGTAGGGCTGGGGAGAGGGAGATCCCAGGGTGCTTAAAATATCTTTTCAGGCTGCCTAAAATATCAGGGGAAATAAGCACAAGCCCTAGGCTGGGGTTGCAGCTGTGCTATTGAAATAAATTGACCGATCTGGAATCAGGCAAGTATTTCTGTAAGCTGTGTAAGCACAGACTCAAATGCATTTGTGGGCGAGTCACACAATTAATACTGTAATATAATTCAACCTCAGCACAGCTCTTGAAACCTGAAACACGTTGTGTGTATATGTGTGTGTGTGAAATGCACGGGTGTATAAAAATTGCGTGTAAAACGTGTCGGAACCTACAGACAAGTGGGAAAGTTTGCACAAAGGATGCTCTGCAGGTGATGGGTGGGAGCGAGAGAGAAATGGCTGTAAATAGGAAAAAAAAACAGGCAGGAAAAATGGACAGGCAGAGCCTCCCTGGGGACCTCCACGCAGCAGCCACGGGCTGGTGGTGCCGCGGTAATTTATGGCAGCAAGAAATGCAGTCACGAAAATGCAACGCGAAAATATGGTTTGCCAAGCAACATCTCAGCTCTGAGAGCTGAACTCAGGTTTCTGCCAGGGGTTTTTGCCACCCAACTCAGCTGGAGGATGTTACTCCTTGAGCAGAGCAGCGTCTGCAGCAGCCCCAGTATCACTCTCCATCTGCGCTGGGGCAGGTTCCAAATTTCATTCCCTTCCCTGGAGGGAGATGCCATTTGGGGTAGATCATCCCCTGGTTTATTTTTATGGCTCTATCTTTCTCAGTTGGGTCTTTATCTTGGGGGCTACGGCCACGGCTCTCGCTCTTTGTTCCCCCAACGATTCAGCACAGCAAGGGGAGGAATGTGCATGTCAGGGAGGGAAGAGGGATGTAAGAGTATGTAAAATGTGTAGGGGATGTAAGAGTATGTAAAATGTGTAGGGGGTGTGTAAAATCTGTCGTGGTGTCTGCGTGTGGGTGATGTGTCTGCTGGGATGGGAGTGTGTGTGTCTGTAGGGATTCCTGCCTTTGTCAGTGCCTATGTTTTGACAGAGACAGATACACAGATGTCATTTCTTATCAAACAGATGTTGCTGATTTACAATCAAATATTCCTGCCCCTCCTAATATGGCAGTTTTCCCAAACTACTGTACTTACATGTTTCTGCTTTGCTTTTGTTTTATTTGCATGACAATTTCTTTTCCTATAAAACAGCCCTATTTTTCTTCAAAGCAAAGCAGTTAAATTCAGGTCTGTTTTCTCATTGGGAAAAGCCTTTAAAGCAGGCAGTGTGTCCTGTTTTATTAACTCCCAGTTCTATTAATATTATATTCTTTCTCCAAATCCATCAAGCAGAAGTTAAACTTGATTTTATAGCATCCACAGCGGAGTTATAATTTAAGGCATAATTTGGCGAGGACTCAACTTGGATTCAATTTGCTTGTCCTGGCTGTGCCAACAGCTCCTATTTTAAAGGGCAGGGAAGTATTTTCTTTTCTCCCTAGTTACGGTGAAACACTCTTTCTTCTCCAGCCCAGCTCCACTCCCTGCATCTCTCCAGCCAACTGATGGATGGAGGAAACCCAATTGTTTCATGCGGGTTTAGGAGTTTCCTACTTTACATTTCCAGGAAAGCATCCGGGATTTATCTGGGGTGCTAAATGACTTGTCTCCATTTGCAAAACAATTATTTCTCTCTATCTGGTATGAAGGAGCCATCCTACCTGCCTCTGAGCATAACTAAAAGCTGGGAGGAAGCACTTTCTGAGTGACTGAGCGAGGAATTGGGGGTTTTTTTGCTGAAGGAAAACTGACTTTTCATGGGGTTCTGCCCAAGAGAGTGTCTGTGGGCAGTGGTGAGAGGCAGCTGGGGAAAGATACCCCTTATATATCTATGGATAACTACCATAGTGGTGGAGAACTGCTCCAGCCTTCTCCTTCCTTGGGTGAGGAAGCCCAAAGCCAAGCAGGGGAGGAGAAAGGGTAATGGGTTCTTCCCCCCCCAGCGGCAGCACCCCGAGAAACCCCTTATTCCGTCCAACCCTTTTCTATTCCACCGGAAGACAAAGCCCTGCCGTTCTTTTCGCGCTTTGTTTGCCTGGGCAGGCGGGGAGCTGAGCTCAGGCAGAGCCTCCCTTTCCTTCCCGGGCCTCCCGGCAGCCAAGCCCGCAGCCCCCCGCGCCCTCCCCGCGGGGTTATCAGCCCCCGGCCGCGGAGGGGAGCGCCGGGCTCCCTCCTCCAGATTAGGAGCCTTTGACCCACGGGGAGGGGGGGGGAAGATAAAGGCAACTTCCTCGGTTGGTCGTCTCCGTCTGAGCAAACTATCCTGTTGAGCTCAGCGAGCCCCTCGGCGAGCCCCGAGACCCGATTTTGGGTGCTTTGTGTGGCCAGGAATAACAGAGGGGATGGGGTGGGTGTGTG